TTCTGGACATCACTTCTTCTGAACCTAGACATAAACATTAAACCTGCCACGTGGCTGCAGAGCACTGACTCACTAAAACATAGGATTTACTCCTGCCCAATAATGGAGTAACATTTCTACCAAAGTGAGGCATTTAACAGAAATGTCATTAGCGATAAAGGTCACCTCTCTAATTTCCTCTATAAATCCAATAGGATTACAGACAAATGTGTATCTGCATCTGCGAAACAGCATTATAAATTTACTTGAATGTCACAACATCATGCCCTGTGTTGTCACATGAACACTGCAAGATGAGAGCAGAAAAATTTCCTTCCGTTTGAGGTGGTGATTTTCCCGCTATAGTAATAGTTAATATCTTTTTTCACACCCCCCTACCATTTTACCTCATGGTTTTCTGTTGCTTGAGCTTAGTCACAGAACTGTGGTGTTTTTATTTTGGAGATTCAGGTGGGCAGAACAACCTCAGCGAAGTTTAAATAGATATATCTGCTTGTTAGAGTGGGGACAGGTGGCTGCCTGTGCATGTTTTCCTAGCAGTCGTTTGTGCTGTCTTAGTGCCCACGTCTCTTGCCTTTTCTGCAGGACAGCAAGCCCCACAGGAGTGAAAACACGTGCTTCCAGTCAAGAGCACACTGTGCGCAAAACACATGCTGACAAAACCGTCTGTTCCTCTCACCGTCTGTTTGGGGATCACCTTAAATTTAGGGTGTTGCAGATTGTTTGCCTTAGTAGCTTATGCATGCAGTACAAAATCAGCTGGCAGCTTGCAGTCGGAAGAGAAGGGTCGGCTGGTGCCCGTTGCTGCCAGCAGCACCCTCTCCTCACACCCCTGCTGAGCGCAGACGATGCTGCTCAACAGGGGCATGTTGCAAAGTGATGTTACGGACGAATTTACTGAAGAGCAAAGCCTCTTCACGCTGTTCATCCTCTACTTTTTATTTAAAACACATCATATTATGTTAGCCTAATAGTCCTCAAGCTCCAGCTTAATTGAACTGGCTGAACTTAATATTGAATTTCTCTTCGTTGTATTTTTCTTTCTGCTGTCCTTATAAATGGGGATAAGGTTGGACTCCATGCTCATGTATATGGTTCTTCCTCAGTCACACACCTGTACAGCAGCCTTTCAGAAGGTCATTAGATGCCACCTTAATGTTGAAAAATTACTAAGTAATTGTCCTTAATGAGGTCATCGTCACAAAACCTTCATGAAGGCAGATAAATGTCATTTATGTTTCTACAAGTATGGCAAACTGAAGCACAAGGGCAGCAATGTTTAAGGTGTTTCTGGTCCAGCCTCCTTAGATGGGGCTGTCTGTGGTACAGCAGTTGTGGGTAAGGATATTTAAAGCACTTTCTCACAAAAAAAAAATTTTGATTTTAAGCTGGGACAGCTACAGCCGAGGTTTCAAGAGGGATTATAGGCAGTGTGTGAGGCGTCTTACCTTAGCTCATACTTGATGTCAAACTGAGTCCATAGCCTTAAGTGAGACGTTGTTCGCCATCTATGGAGGGAACCCTTCCCTAAGCATTAGAGGGCCCAACAGCCAGGAAACACACACGCACCTCTCCCAAGCACTCACTCACACAGTACCCTTCAGTACAGGTTCACAGGTCCTGTATTTCTCTATTCTAATGTATATCAAGGCTTTTAGTAGTAACAGTGCAGAAGGTTGTCATAGAAATTAATTAGGCTTCTGGGAGACCTCCGTAAGTGTTTTTGACGAAGCAAACTTACAATGGTTTATTGTTAATACAAGAGAAGAATACCACTTACTAACTTGGTTACTAAACTAGCCTTGTACTATATTAATTTATTTCTTAGCTTAAGATGTTTGTAAATGTAGTAGTAAGGCTGTTTTAATAGAACATCAGTAGGCCAGAGTGTGTTGATATTTAATTAATAATAACATTAATATTTCTATATCCCTCATATGGGAATATGGAAGGATAAGGTTAATCTACAGAATAAAGTATACTTTGCAGCGTCTACTGCCAGGTATTAACAGCTAGATTAGTTTGATGGTTTAAGGTAATGAAAGAATGTGTTGTGAGCTTGGGAGGGGGTACCAAAAATAAGATCCTGGGGAATCAACCTTTTTTGTCATTGTTCCCACACTAACCAGGTCCTGTGTCTGCAGCCACAGGGTATAGATTTTCCCCCCTGTAGCCCTTAGCTATTGTTGCTAATATGGTTTGTTAAAATTACCATGGGGTTTCTTTGTTGTGCAAGCACACAACGTTTTCTTTATCTTCAATGAGGCTGTTAGAATGCCGAACCCAATGAAAGCACATATCATAAGGGAACGTAGCTTTGATAAAAGAACATTTAATTGAGGCATGGTCTTTCCTCTGCTGGGAGGTACCCTATTGCAACAATCGCAGATGCTGATGGAGAAGGAAGGGCATGGACCGCAGAAAGCGGCTGGGGTCTCTCTAAGTAGCCTCTTTGCCACTGCCAGAGGCAGAGCACTGGGCTAGATGGACCACTGTTCTGGCCAGTAGGTCTGTCTGCTCTTCTGGGTCAGCTGGGGTAATGGCTGGGACCTGAATTTGCCCAGGTCCCCTCTGCTGGCTGTAAGGTCAGGGAGAAAATTTGACAGGGAAGGGGGACAGGTGATGCCACAGCATGGCATCAGGGATACAGAAAACCAGCAACATATGCTGGGAATGCCAATTGGCACGTGGCACTGAAAAACAGTGCTTCTAGACATACAGAATGGCAATTCTGCAGCCAAACAGAGGGGGACACCCAGGTCACCAAGCTCAGGTCCAGCTCCAGCAGGTCATGTCCCCTGTGCAAGTGGTGTGTGGCAAAGGGATCAGGCTGTGACCTCTCAGATCTCTTTTCTGCAAGGCAGTTCTTCCAGGTCCCCTCATCCGGCCATTTTTTCTGCTGAGGCTGTGACTTTTTGGTTTCTATTAAGGGAAGATTGTTGCTGTTCACATTCACAAAGGTGAAATTTCTGGCAGCAGTCATTTGTCTTGTGACCACACCAGATTTTCTTGATCAGCCTATTTGCTTTCAGTAAGAAAAACTGCTGTTGTCTTTGTGTACACCGAATGTAATATATAGGGGGAAGATATGTGTTATAATTCGCACTGAGCTAATGCCCCACCACAGCTGAAAGGTGAGCTCCTATCCCAGATGCACTGTCTGGTGTGGTCATCTCACCCTTTGCTGAGCAAATTCACCTAAGTAACAGAAAAATAACCCTAAACAAGTAGTAAACACAAAAAAGTGCTTGACAAGAGCATAGTGGAGGGGACAAGATGCCCTGGTGGGTGTAAGAGGAGGTACTAGTGGGGGCAGGACTTTTCAGCGGCAGCTGCTGTCGATCCCCTCAGCTCCAACTGTGTAACGTGATCTTCACATCACTTCTCGCTTGCTCTGCTCCACAGTGCCTCAGCAAACCTTGACTGAAGTGGGGAGGTGTTATTCACATCCTTCTCCTGACAGGGAGGGTAGAGCTTCATCTGAGCTGGAGGAATCATCCCTTCAGTTTACTCAGTGGTAGAAACTTTTGAAGCCACATCAATCTATGTGTTGCTGGTTCCAGGACTACTTAGTGGACAACTAGCTGCCACCATGTGTCACTAGGTTCAAACCCAGACAGAAGTCACCCCTACCTATATATGTAGGCACTCAGACAGCTGTCAGAATGGATTATCCTTCATTTGTTACCTGCCCAGTTATTACATTTTCAGGTCTTCCTGGAAGTCTGTCATGAAGTTTAAAAAAAGCCCACAGAGTACAATTATGATATTTCCCTTCCCACTTGCCTGAGGGGAAGAAGTGACTAGGCTTTGTGAGAAAACCCTGCAGCGAACACGATGTGCACCCCCCAAGTGTATATGCCACACAGCCGTAAAGCAACCTGTGCTGAATAGCAGGTCCACCTGCTCTGGTAATCTGCAGCCAGATGACTGCGTCAGATAGTTCTTCTATTGACTCTCCAGCAAACTGCCCTAAAATGAACTACCAGCTGTATTTACAGCCCATCACCAGTGGGCATAACAGATTATTTGAATTTGAACTGTGCACATTTCTCAGGTCAGAAGCATTCTGGCAGTTTTCTTCTATTTCTTCCTTTGCATTTAAAACACACCTTGCTTCGTGTTTTGTTTGATACAGTATCAACTATCACAAGGTAAAGCCTATTCTCACCTGTCTGACAGATTGTCCTTTCATAGTGAAGAACTCCCTGAGTTTGTAGACTCACCTGCTGCTGGGTGTGCTGAGTCTGGCTGGGATGGAGTCAACCTTCTCCCCAGCAGCCTATAGGGTGCTGTGCTTTGGATTTGTGACTAAAGCAGTTGATAACACACCAGTGCCTGCACAGTGTCAAGGTCTTCTCCCTTCCTCATTGTGCACCCAGTGCTGGGGGTAGGCAAGAAGCTTGGAGCGGACACAGTTGGGACAGCTAACCCCAATTGACCATAGGGATATCCCATACATATGGTGTTGTGGTCAGCAACAAAAGCTCAGGGAAAAGGAGGAAGAAGGTGATAAGTCTGTGGTAACAAGCAACCATCATGCATGCTGAGGCCTTGCTTTCCAGGAAGTGGCTAAATGTCTGCCTGCCAATGAGAAGGAGTGAATTGATTCTTTATTTTGCTCTGTTTCCACACACAGCTTTTGCTTTATCTATTAAACCAATTTTAGCTTGATCCACAAGTTTGCTGGCTGCAGTCAACCCAGCACACTATGTCAAAGGAAGTCTGAGCTAAGTTGTGTGGGACTACTTGAATCAGACTCAATGGATAATACATTTTTTTCTTCTTTTTAGGAGAATACATTGGGTGTGCCTTTAGACAAACACTAAACTGACCATGTGACACAGACTGTAAACATTATAGCAAGGAGTCACTCAGAGAGGGCTCTGGGCTAGAGATGAGACAGATTGACCATTCAAAACATTTAACTCCTCAGCACTGTACCATGTAGTCATTGGTTTTAATTGCTTTTACCTCCTTTAAATAATGAGTCTAAGAGGTGTCTTTAATTTGCCTTTATTCTTAGGTCAAACAATATCATCACTAAATTGAAGAACGAGGTTACCAGTTGAAATACAAGTGCAGTGTGAGGCAAATATGGAAGATAACACTTTGCAAATAAATTAATACAGAATAATTGTCTTTGCATAGTTCAGAAGTGAAAAGTAGGAGGCAGCAGTGCGCACGTGCTGTGAACTGACACACACCACCACAAAAACCCAAGTTCCTTGCAGCTGCAAATAAAACAAACCAAACCAAAAATACCCCAAATCTTAGAGAGCACTAACTATTAAAAACCAGGCAGAAAGGGAACAAATGAGCTTTTTTTTCTTTTTTTTTCTTTTTTTTTCTTTTTTTTTTCTTTTTTTTTTTTTTTAACAGACCATGCTGCAGAAAGAGAGTGTTTTCTCTACAGACAGAGATGCTTTTAGATAATCTGCCTTGGCATCCCATAGCCTGTCATACCCGACTGTGATGCTCCTTTGTTGCTGCCCATCTGAAGGCCTATTACGTTCTGTCCCTGACGAAGCTGCTCTTCTGAAAATCCTCGTCGATTCTGCTGTGCTTTCCTGTCCAGATACACACAAAAGAGCAACATACACATACCATCATTCTGCGTATGCCCAGAGGATCATGAAAAGCAACCTGAAATTGGCTCATGTTAACAGACATGTCCCCTGTAAGGCAATATTTCATTTGCACTGCCCCATGGGTCGGACAACACTGGCTAGGCTAATTGCTTTCCTGCAGTTAGAAGTAATGCTCCAGCCAAACCTACAACACTTCAGACTTTCACTGTACGACGTATTCCAGAACCCCAAGGGACTCCCCCAGCTGCTATGACAGTAAAATATTTATGTAGTGCTGTATATAACACACAAGATAGGGTTAATTTGTGTTAAGCCCTCTTAACAGCTGTAATCTATGGGATCTGATCAACGAGGTACTTACCTGTGCTGCAAGACAAGTTGATATCCAGCTAGAGCAACAGTACAAATTATATCAGTTAACTCAGTGGAGTAAATAAGAGCTGAATGTACCCGGAGAAACAATGGGACAGAGAAGCGACTTGCTCATTTTTGCAAAGCAAAATTATGCATTGCAGAGCGGATGATGGTTGTCCAGAGGACAGAACAATTGCTCTGTTGCCATTTCCAGATCTCTCTTCTCTAAGCAATAGACTTTGCCCTTTGCACCTGTGTCTTAACTGTACGACAGACAGTCCTTTATCTTCTGTCAAAACATACTGACCACTTTTGTTCGGCGTCCCTGGTCTCAAAAGCCCTTTGGATCAATGAACCTTTGTTGGAGTTTAAAAGGAACCTCTTTTCCCTGAAAATAGCACTGAGGGCCAAAGCGGCGGTTAAAAAGAAGCACAAAAGTTTGTACTCAGCTGCCTTGCAAGAAATTGTTCATCTTGGATTAATCTTTCATTTATACAAGACGGGGAAAACAAGCAATTTACAAGGGAGAAGGATCAGTCTGTTGCTACCAAACAAGCTGTATGAACAAGCAGAGCCCCAGACTGAAGGAGGCTTTCAAGCAACCAGACTCTACTCCCACCCAGGTACAATCTCGCTCCCTGCTGTGTCTGTTTGTCCTGCGATCAGGTTACCCTGCAATACAGCATTGTGTTACAGTTCTCCTTTTCTCCCCACTCCACCATCAGATGCAAAAGCTAGATTAGGTGCCTGCTGTGATTGAAAAACATCAACACGATCCTCTCTGTGATGGTCTGGTCCTGTACTGTGCTGAGCACCATGGCTCGTGTCCAAAAAAGCACTTAAACTCTGCAAGGCTCAGGGTGGTCAGGACATTGCAGGAGAAGAACCCATGTCAGCATGAAAGCCCAGCAAAGCAGAAAGGTGAGAAAGATCCACAGGAAACCAGTACTGACCTATCATTTTTCAGAATGGGTCTCCAGTGTTAAGGGCTTGTAGAAGCCCATCCCAGGCTTTCAGATCCCACAGCTCTTGACAGAAAGCATATGCCATTTTGGAGGGAGGCAGGCAGAACTGCAGGCGCCCCAGAAAGCAATCCCCTCTCACTGTTGCCTAATTTCTTTTCCAGAATATTAACACGGGCACCAAACTACTGCCAGGATCTCCATGAAAGGATTTTTTTAGAACTACTCCTATTACCTAATCAAATCTCAGGTTCACTGTGTCTGCCTTTATTTTAATTAAAATCCCAGGAACACACTCTTTTTTTTTTTTTTCCTCCTAGAATTTTCAGCTGTGTTGTGGCATAATTCCACAGAAAGTTGAAAAGTAGCTCTGAACAGGAAAAAAAATGAGAACTGCAAGGAAGAAATAAAAAGAGAGACTACAGGGAAGCCTGGAAATGCTAATAAAAGTTAATTACATATACAGTTTAGATCATATAGCGTTATTTTTACCATCATAAACACCACATTTAGTACATGACGGTCTTACAGATAAGAACACGAACCTAAATTTTGCTTTTAGGTAGGTGGAAATGGCCTTAATGGAGACTGTAGAAAAAGAGGTGAGGGCAAGTCTATTCCCTTCAGTGTCTCATGCTATGTCCAGTTCTGTTTGGCCTGTCTGCCATCACCTGGCATCACCTTTGCCTCAAATTGAGCCCATTCAGGGAAGGGGGAATCAGGCCTGGTGGGACTGGGTATGCGAGACACTAGCAACGGAAGGTTAAAGGGCTTAGCTCAAGTGTGGGGGTATCTTAATCACTGTAGAACCCTATGTGGATACTCTTCTTCCATTTAATCTTGGCTCCTTTCAATTTAACTTAAGGAGATTAAGAATCTGCCAGAAAGCCTTGACTCACGACTGGGTAGCAGTGAGGGGGCTTGATCTGCCTGAAGGGATGGGTAAGCTACTCAGAAAAGAGTTCCTGATCTGCAATATGCTATACCCTTACAGAAATTACAGCAGTTTTCCTTAAGGCAGTGGCTATAAAATTGTCTTTCAGGGGCTGTAATAGATATAGATTGGCTATCCAAGCAGTACAGGCAGGACACACAGCGAGGGGAGAAGTGAGGTGATCATATCTTCATTTATGCCAATGAAAACTGTTCCCACCCACAATTAAAGGAGTCCAGATGAAAATTAATTTTTCCATGTAGGACTTTGTTTTAGTTACATAAAACAAATAAGCCTGTCTGGGTCATAGTGATTTCATGTCTGGTTTATATTAAAGCATGTAACTGGATTGGAACACAATTTTAAACCCAATTATATTCCACAAATACAAATCTATTTGTGCACTGTATTAAGCTAATTTAAATTCATTTCCTATAAAGAATGCATAGGAGTTTGCACTTTATTCACCTAAAATTCAAGTCCCCCTTAGCCTCAGTTAAACCAGCTCAAGATTTAAGACAAACCAAGTGAAGTTTGCTTTACTTTCACTGAGCCTCATCTAGAGACCAGAAATTCAAGGAAACCAAAGATAACCAGCCTGCACTCTTTTTTTGCTAACATGCCTCAGACGTTTCGGCAAGTAAGAAATACTTTTGGATGTCAGAATCTCATGTCAATAATATGCCTGTGGGGCAGGAGGGCTAACTGTGGGAGGATTTCCTCTTCTTCCTGTCCCTGCTTCTCAGTCTCCCTAGCCAAAACAAATGGAGTTTTAGAACAAATAAATGGCTTTGCCAGGACAGAGAATTCTTCACAGGTAAGTGGTACTCCCCAAGAAAAAAGGATGACTAGGAAATGAAATCATTTTTGGTTTGATGAAAACCAGAAAGGCTTCATGCCTTCTTTTTGCTCGGTCAAGGGGTCAGTATACAGGGGTTTGCAGACATGTATGACAGCCTTGTCTTCACTAGTCTTTCTGTCTCTTATTGGATGTGAGGCAAAAGTCCACTTTTCTTGCCAGCTGCTCTTAGGACACATGTATCTGCATGGCTGCTGACATTTTCATTCCCTTTTCTTCATAAATGGATATAGAGGATTAGCTGAAGCTGCTGAACAGATGAATGCCATTAAAACTAGTGGCTGAATTTCTTAAGTATTGTTGATCTCCTTCTAAGGAGTAAGCCAGGGATAGCATCCCTGGACAAGAAAATTATGTCTTTTCTTCAGTGATCAGCATGAACCCCTCACACAGCAAGATGGATATGCTACAAAGGTGCCTGGAGCTGGATGCTGGGCTCCTCCCTGTGTGCACTACCAAAAGCCAGCCATCCAGTAGGGACCCTATGCGTGCACACACATGTCCACACCAACACAGCCTACAACAGCCTTGTTCAAAAGGGACACCTCCAGGAAGAAACCAGAGCTGGAGCCACAGGCAATATGCTCCCTAGTACCAGCAGTGCTGTCCCAGCTCCGGGGCAGGATGGACATGTATTATGGCATGACAGGGCCACATGAGAAAAGGCTGTGCTACATGGCTCCCACAGGGCTCCTCCCCACCAGCCTGGGTGTAACATTAGGCCGACAAGATATGGCAAGACACGGGCCTAGCAGCGATGCTGATAAAGTTGGGAACCAGTGAAAGGTAGAAAATGTTGCCGCCTGGTTGAGTCTTTGCTTCCCTCCTCTAGACTCCAGAGAAAATATTTCCATTACAAGGAAACCTGGAAAGATTCTTCCGTCCCTTTCCTGATAAATTTCCTTAAAGCCTATAGGCAGACAATATTACCAGCTTCCCAGGGAAGACAGCTCTGAGCAGCTGTGCTTTGACTTTACCTGTGAAACCAGGATGGATCCCCTTTGTAGCAGCCGTCATCCTTGGTAACTGCCAAACTGCCTAGAGCCATTAAGGTTCTCTGCACTGCTGCCATGTCCTTCCCTAGAAAGCCAGACAGTGAAATTAATATAAGAAATCCTTGCACAACAAACACCTTGGCACACTGATAAATAGTATTTTCCAATGCATTAACTAACTCCCTCAGCTCTCTTGAAGAAGTGCATTAATAGCATTATAAATGCAATGTTACCACTAACGAAATGGAGGTACGGACATGCAAGAGCTTATTAAAAGTCATCAAAGTGACAGCGTTAAAGTAAAACTTAACAATACAGACATTTCCAGGTTTCCGGGCCCCCGGCTATTTTAATGTCTTCCCCCATATTATTCTAAGTCCTTCTAGATAATCCTTTTGGCAAAATTTTCTCCTAAGAAGAGATGACTTTGGTGTACAAAGAATGGTAATATACTCAGTAAATGTGGCTGAAGGAGAACAGTGTGTTAAATAACAGAGCTGTGTCTCAGTTTCTTCATCTGTAAACTGGTAAGACTGATGCCACCATTCAACCCCTAGCAATTCCAGACAGTCCCTATACTAACAGAGCTCACAGCCATCCTGGAGAGCTCCTGTGCATGTAACTCATATCAGTCCTTCCCAATTTAACCACCAAATCACCTCCCAAATCCTTCCTACCAGCTTCCTTTCTCAGGCTGCCAAAATCGATGCTCTGCAGTTTCACACCTTTAGTTCCTGACATCCAGTCCACTATTCTTCCATTTCCTCCCTATGTTACCTCACTTCAGTCCTCATTTCAAAAAGCCAGGGCTCATCTCATCTTCAGACAAGTAAAAGTTACATATCTGGTCATCACTAGTTCTTTAGGTTCCCTCCATAAAAAACAGAGAAAGAAAAGCTTTTCAGGGGATAATTTGTCCCATCTGTATGGGGAAGGGCCAATCACTTGCTTAGAGGCACACCTTCCACCTAGCTGAAAGTCTGCCAGATTTCCAAGAGGGCATCTTACACCTTTGAAATACAAGGCTCTTCGTCAATGGAGTTTTACATTTAAAAATATGGGATATTCTCCTCCTATCTCTCCTTCCAAAATGAGGATAATAAAAACACTTTCCTTTTTGGTCAACATCTTCTGCTGATTCCTCCAGTGAATTAAAAAAAAAACAACCAAACAAACAAACAAAACAAATAAGGGGAGATGCAGAAATTTTTTTAAAATTAAGATTGCTCCTTTTTTCTTGGTTCTTCCCCTGTACTTTGTCACTTGGTGTAAAAAGGGCAGGGAACATAAAGACATTCGAGTCAGACAGACTCTAACTCATTACCCAATCCAGACATGTTAACTTTTGGAAAACTTTCTAGCAAAAATGAGTTGCAGAATGTATTTCCATCTGTGTGAGGTGGCAAGTTGTTGGAAATCTGCCTTTTGCCTCTCCCTTCTTCCGAAATCCTTCCATAACTGTTTCTATGACTCCCATCCTTTTCTTTCTGTTCCAGTTCTTCCTTTTTCCTAAAATAATTTATCTAGTTAACACATCTGATTTTGACTGTAAGTTCTTCACAGGGGAAAACAAGTAATTCATAAAACTGTAAGATACTAGAGACATGATGACAATAACAGATTTCAGAAATACAGCCAGTGGACCAGTATTAATGAAAATCACTGTAGACCAGCTGGAGTGTAGAGGGAAGCTCGCACTGCACGTTCTGTGTTTATGTTATGCATCACCCTGATTAGAGGCAGATGCAGTTCAGGACTTTAGTTCATACAAACCTAAATGCATAACACACTGGATGAGGTGAGGAAGACACCCTAAAGCTGAAAACATCTAGCAGCTTCCAACTGTGGCTATCATACAGCCTATTAAAGTTTATAGCAATCCTGTCTGCAGGGGACCATTTGCTCAGAGAATAACTTGTCAGCCATCCAGAACCCTTGTTTTACTGTATTTGTTAACGCAAACTGCATCAGATGGGGTCCTTGCTTAAGAGGGCAGCTGAAGAGCCGACATCCCACACACGCACGTACGCAGGCATACACGGAAGGGCGTGAGGCAGAAACAGTCAGAGCTCCCCGACGCAGCAGATGTACCATATGCTGTAACAGATGCCACAAACAACGTCCTTGGGATGCCTCCTGTATAACAAGGAGTGCGGTGACTGACTGGGATGAAGAGGGATGAGAAGAAGGATTTAAAAGTGAATGAGCTGAATAATGACAGCAAGAGCAGAAAAAAGAAAAAGAAACAAAAGACGGGTAGCAAAATACGATGGTTGGCCTCACGGAGCCATCTGGCAGCCCCCCCACGCTCTGCACTCAGCTCTGCTTTATTTGTCAGTGGCGAGTGGGAGATGCCACGGGGGAAAAACAGGCCGAGTGGGAGCCGAGTGCCATGTGACAAAACAAAGTCATGGCCATGGCTTTGCAGAGCCTCCCTTGCAGTGTGGGAAGACCCCAAATCCATGTGGTCTTGTGACATTTGGCCTCTTCCAGTGAAGGCTACAAGGGGCTTGATGGTCAGCACAAAAAGGGCTGTGAAAATTTTTTTATTTCCATTGAGAAAGTCACCTAATGCTGCAGCTGCCTGACAGAAGGGATCGTACATGTTCTCTGAAGCCAGGCTTGCCTCTGGCATTGCAGAAAATTGCAGTCAGTGCCTTCCCTCGGCTCCAGTACTTGTTCACTGACAGCCACGTGGGCCGCCTGCCCAGCCCCCAGCCTCAGCCTCCCTGAATCATGCTGCAGGGACTCACACCGACGTCATTTCTTCTGCATCTCCAGCGTCCTCTGCAGAGTGCCTTTGAAGAGCACATCCTCATAAAGGATCTTGACACTGCCTGTACAAGAAGAATGGGGCCTCTGCCCACTTTTTATGCTAAGCCTTTCTCTTTAGGGGAAACCTGGCTGGAAGGCTGCCTTCTCCAGGTGCAGAAAGAGGAAGGTTCAAACCCAAAGATGGAGAACTGTTCTGCACAGTATTTCTGAAACTTTTTTTGTAAAGGCTCAACAAGTACTTAGAGGTACAGCTGCCTCTTGCCTGCTTGGAAATATACCAGGAAGGTATGTGTAAAAAACAGTGAATATAATAATGTCTTGGGCATGGATTAGGGAAAGCTGCTCAGTACATGTAATTAAGAAAGGACTGAAAGAGAGGCAATATTTCTCCTGGACCAAGAAGTGGCAGAGATGAAGAAAAATGCACCAGATGGACTCATGGAGTTTGAAACAGCCAACAGCAGATTGCATCCTAAAACATTTCCATTAATCGCTACTAAGAATTTCAAAGCAAAAGCTCTCAGAAAACAATTAGTGCCAGAGAAAAGCTGTTTTTCACTCACACATATTTTTCTCTGCCTATAAACATACATTGACATCTCTCTTTCTAAAGAGGTCATGGCCTGAAGTGTAGAAGCACTGTAATAATGAAATAGTGAAAAAGAGACCAGCCTTTCTCTCCAGCTAATGCATCCAGGTTCAGACAATTCAGCCCTGAAGCAGCACAGATGCTAGAGGTCAGAGTTATGGTTAGGCACAAAAAGCTTGCAGTGACTCACTGCCAGAGAGACATACTGTTTCATCTCATCACTGAAATGAGCAGCAGGAGGAATGAAAAGTGAGTGGGAAAGTGAGGAGACACAGCTGAGTTTTGTGAAGTCCTAAAATAGCAGAGAAGAAAAGTCTTGTAGGTCTCCCTCCTAGGTGCGAATTGTGTTTTGACTCCCTGTCCTCTGGAAGCTACTAGCTTTTTTTCCTTACATCTGTTCAGAAAAGGTGATGAGCAGAAGGAAGAGAAATGAGGAGAGAGCAACCATCATTAGGAGCTTTTTGTCTTCAAAGCAAGTCCTTTTCACCATAAGGATCAACGTACCATACTTTCATTTGCATGGTGTGAAGCCATTACGAGATGCAAAAGACTGCAAAGAACAGCATCTGAAATGACCTGTTATCATCCCTTACAAGATAGATGGGGCTTCTCTTTCAACAGCCTCCTAGGCTGAGGTGGGAGGGAGGGTGTTACTCCAGGGAAGTGAAAATCCCTTCAAGGTAGACTGGATGAAACACTAAAGGCTGAACTAGAAGAAACAATCCTGCCCTTGGGCCCAAAGGTAGGATTTGTCAAAGAAATCTGGCACCCTGAGAACATTAGAGATCCCAGTAACTCCATCTGTCAGTATATCCTTCCTATCTAACCCACCCACAAAGAGCTCCCTAGTCTTTCATTCCTCAAGCTGTCCTTTAAAGGAGCGATCTCTTCCACATATCCCGACAGCCTGTGAAAACAGAATTCCACTTTTTTTGCTCCATGTGTGTTCCTACACAAGTTATGCTGACCAGCTCTCTCAATGGATTGTTTTCCTCTTTCCACCTTTTCATTCTCATGGCAGATTTTTGACCCTTTCACGTCTACCTCTCACTACCCTGCAGCTGTCCTTGCTCTGAGCCCTCACACAAAGCATCTGGCATTACCTTGCCCAGAGAGATGCAAGATACACACTGTATTTGGTTAGAGTACTAGGAAGGGATGCATCACCGCAGAACTGAGCAAAACCAACCATATGAACGCGCAAATGACTCAGCTCGTCAGGAACTAGAACACACAGTTTCCATTTTGAGCATGGGATGGAGATAGCCTTCACCTGGGTTACTGCAAAACCACAGGGGCACACTGAATTTTTTCGGTGTTGCCATAGTGACCTTTCTTAAAAGACCATATTCTTGGAGAGATGCTCAGCTAACGTGGTGTTAGCAGTGAGTTTTGCTTCTTTCTAGTCACAAATGAGCCCTCATAAGATTCATAGAGGCATCTATGCTCCTGGGAATGCATTTTATAGCTCTAATTTAAGCTTTGCTTATAATTTGAAAGCTGCAATAGAATCTTGTCATCAGAAAATAAGGGTTTTCCATATTTGCTATTAGAAGCTATTTACTTGGCAATAATCAGCATAGAGAACATTTGTTGTATTAGGTCTGTGGATTTCTATCAGAATGATGGGCTTTTGGATAACACATGTGCTTAGAAAGGCTCCGTTATGCCCTCAGGGTAATATAAATCCCTCAGAGGAGATAATACCCCACCAGAACATGGTAATGAGGTAAGGCAAACAGAAACAAAAGATAATTACATTAGAGAATATGCCTTAGACAAAATGCACTATTACAACACATCAAAGCAAAACAAAATGAAGACTGCAAACTGACTTCCAGTTCATTATTTTTACCTTCCCATAAATCCACTGTCTGGAAAATATCTGTTGTTCTTACTCCGTAGATTTCAGCAGCTTTTAAGAACTGAGAAATTTGTTCCATCTGCTTGAAAGCCATTTTTGATTCAGAGATCTTTGCAATGGGCTCGTTTCCCTTTGGATGTAGACTGTTTATTAACTTGCATAACAGCTGAGAGATAAATACAGAAACAGAATCAGAAAGCAGTCCCCAAACTAGAAGTCAATTTCTGCACATGAAATGATGCTGCAAAATGCTTTTGACCTGGCCAGTTTCTGTCAGGGACATAATTTCTCCAGTTAAAAACAAAGAAGTGAATTGATAATAATCCAAGTATATTAGAAATGCATTAAAGCTCTCATCAACTGATGGCAATAGCCTAACCATATAAATCCTAATCTGCTAGAAACAACAAAGCAATCACTGGTAAAGCTTATATAACAACTGACAGAGAAGAAACCACATGCCCAAGCCAAAAAAATAAGCAATGTCAATTGAAATATTGTTAAAGTGACTTTGGCAGGGATTCAATGATTAGCATATTCTTACAGCCCACTGCAAACAGCAGCATCTGCCTGTTGTTCAATAAACCAATGGAATACAATGATTTAGCTACAGAATTATTCCCATGAAGAAAATAGTTATGACATAATCCAGTCCTTCAGTTTTTCTGTATCTCTTCACCTTTGCCTGTGAACACTGATTATTTCTTAAAGAGAAAAGTATACATCTGATTTTAAAACAGATCTCATTTAACTGTATGAGAAAAGGTGCTGAAGGAGTGAGTCATATATAACAAGCATGACTCACAAGAATCATAAGTACTGTACTAATCCTAGTACACTAGTAGAATAATTATCTCCTGTGATTAAGAGTCCTGGTCAAAAGGAAATAAATCAGATACTAAAACATATACATTTCTGCATTGTCTATGAGCTCTAACCAATTTAGCTAGATGAAGACAGAAAACAAGGTCACTGTGCATATAATCCATGCAAGTACGTAATTGGACAAAACACTTACAGTTCCATCCATCAACCAGGTCTGAAAATGTTGCCTTCCAGGAGGAGGATGCTCTATCTGTTCTCCACACTGTACAATAATCCAGTTCACCAGCCTAGACTCTAATTCCGGGTCATATTTTTGTTCAATCTTTTCCTGAACTTCTCGGCTTAAGCCATAGCTTGGTCCTCTGTTAGCCATCTCTGGAATCAAAGCAGAACTAACTTAGTTGGCAGAGTCCTGATCTGCAGTGAAGTATGCACCGGAAAATTAAAGAATAAAAGAGTGAGCAGTCTGCCCTATGCGTTAGACAGTTGAACAGATGTTCATCAACACTGAAAGTAACTGTACGGCACCGGTTATAGCTGTTCTGCAGAACAGGGGAGGGATCAACGAGGGAATATCCTTTTCCAAAAGCACAAATCAGCTACGACATTTTTTTAAAAAGAAGGAAAAAAACAGCAGTCCCCCCTGGCCAACCACAAAACCAGAAAAAAAAGCAAGATTTAAAAGAGAGGAGGTTTTAAAGAGAGGCTTCTGCTATGTTTACAGAGAATACAATAGAGTTCTCAGATCAATGTTAAAGCTGCCTGCAAATCCAAAAGCACTTTAAAATTGCCTACCTAATACTTGCCAATAAGAAGAAGGTTGTACATGGGAGCTCAAGCAATCCGATTAAAGATGCAGTCAGGGTCTTCCTCAGCAGAGATGCAGGGATGGATATCCAGTGATCAGCAAACTAAGAAGCGCTGATGAATTTAAGAGACGAAGGCTGCTACAATGCCCTGCTGCTGCTGCAGCATTGTGGTTTGAAGAACAGTGTATTGATTTGATTTTCCTCACATATGAGGAGGGTCAAAGCAGGGGCGTTGCTAAGAGCCATTAAAGAGGCCTGCCTACTCAGTCACAGCCCAAGGATCCTGTTTATCTCGCCCATCTGCAGTCTGTTTTCATGCATGTTTCCTCAGCCTTGCACTGTTCACCCTACAGGTTCAGTTGTACTCCACCTAGTCTGCATCAACCCAAACTGCACCAAGCACCCCAGTGCCAGATAGAAATACAAATAGAAGGCCTTCACCAGATTTCACTCTGTTAAATGATGGTAATAGAAATTACTACACAACTTGTTTATTTTTAATCACAAAGCAGAAGCAAAACCTTTTTCTCCCTGTCTGCATCATGATGCTAACAGGCTTAGACCGTGAGAAAGAATTTCTCTTCCCTGTTCAAATGCTGATAAAAAGTTTCAACAAGGGGACAATAGGATGAAAAGTCAAGGAAGAGAAGGCAGGTAGCAGAGTACTATTATCACCCTATCATTAGTATATACTAGGCTATCAAATAGGGTAATAGCGTACCGAGAAAACCACTTGAACTGCTAAAAACAAGGGGAAATGACCAAAAACCAGCAAAACTACTATAAAGCACAAGGATCCTATTTTCTGCTGGTATGAGTCAGCGTGCCTCCAGTGACAGCAAGAGAGCTGTGCCCACGTACAGCAGTTTAATTTTTTATTAAACCACAGCAGTGGTGGGAGGGAAGAGAAGGAAAGTTAAGACAAGAGATTTTTCTTCCAGTCTGATTTGTACAGATTTATCCTTTATTGAACAAAATCATTTTGCTCCTCTCTGAGTTGTACCAGACTTTGTCAAATGTCTTTCATCGATGCTGTGTTATCCACCCTGCTAGGAAATAGTTCCCTTCTGTCAAACAACTTGTGTTCAGCTTGATATGAAAGGAGGTTGATAAACCTGAGGCGGATCCACAATATCAGCTTTGCCAACAAAAGTCCTTCTGTTGCATTTAAAAAAAAAAAAAAAAAAAAAAGAGGGAGAATACAGCTCCATGTATATCTATCTCATAATGGGCTCTTCATCCATTACTTTCTCATTTTAAGACCACAAATTCTCAGGTTTATACTGCTTTGGATGCTGCTGGGCTTGAGCAGACCCAAGAGATGAAAAATTCAATAGATGACCTAATTCATTGTTGTCCTCCACAGGCATTTCACTTAGTGCTTTCTCTTCTCTGCACTGGTAGTTTTAAAACCCTCTGAAATACTCGATTACATAACTCAGAGCATGCTACGTGACAGGGCCACCACTTGAGCTCTTTCCACCTCAGTGAACACGCTGTTGAAGGCACAGCCAATGAGCAGGAACCAAGACTGCAAATGAAGCCTGGAGATCAAAGGAGTAAACTGCAGCTGCAACAGTAAAAGGCAGCCCACGAATTCGACATCCTTTCCATTCAAGCAACCATTCAGGGCCGGGCCTTACACCCTTTGGCCAGCCCCACAAAGACTAAGAAGCTTTATTTTGCACTTTCAGATCTTTTTGTGTTCTTCTGTTTAGAAGGGAGCTACCTAGGTTGCTTGGCTGTTTCTGGTCATATCAGGGTGTTCAGCGCCCACTGGCAATGAGATTTCATGAAAACCTTTGCATCAGTCCCTGACACTGCTTCCTAACTTGAGGGCAGGGATGGGTAATTTAACCCTCCTAAGCTGCAGAGCAGAGGTTTCCCTCTTCACAGATGCTGGCTATGCAACCTGTTCTCGAGGGACTGTTCCATACTGTGAAAGCTGAAAAGCAAGCTTGTCCATCAATATCAATTTTTAATAAGGATTTGAAAACCAGGAAAGCTGCAGAGGATTGGAAAAATGCCAGCCTCCCCCCCCCAATATTTCCAAAGTATGAGTAATCAAATCGTAGGCCTGGTTCTGTCCATCAATCCTGGGAAAAACAACGGAATGAACTTTTTTTTTTTTAAAGCGATAGTGTTGATGCAATTTTTTAAAAGCTCTGTAATACTTGAGAGTCCATCTACTGCACAACATGTTGATTAGGGAACTAAACTGATTCTGAAACAACATGACACATAGAAGAGTTTTAAGCTGGCTTAGCAGTAGGTCCTATAATATGATTGTAACTGAAAAATCATTAATGATTGTGTATATTTTTATTCAGTTTGCACCGGAGTGTGCTCCCAGGCCTGAACTATTTAATATGTTATTAGAAGTCACAAAAAAAGTCCAGACTCCTAAGAAGATCCCAGCTTATGCAAGCTGTGATGAGCAAACAACAAAGGTAAAGAAAACTCCTTGAAAGCAGTCTACCTGGAAGTAGGCAAAAATATGTCTCGTTCCATCCAAAGTCTAGCTATTGTCAGAAAAGTGCCTTTCAGAACGTGGCACTCTGTCCTACGAAAAAGCAGATGGTAAAAAAAAAATAATTGCGGAGGGCGATGGAAGATAAGCAGGTGGGCACAGATGCTGGGTAAGACACTGTGATGAAAGGGCTTGGCTGAATAAAATGTGGGAGGTGCAACAGCAATGGGGGTATCATATCCAGTTCTCACAATCACTCTCCAGCAAAACTGGTGAAAGAATGAAGTAAATTCAAATAGTCGTTCCAGTAACCCGAGGACTGAAAATTAGAGCCTTTACAGTAATCACTTCAGAAGGATTATCTGTTTAGGTCACCAAAATCAGAAGTTAAGAAATGGCAAGCACACATGACTGCAAAACAAAGAAGAAATCAAGGAACTTGAGTACCTTCTGTTGGACACAGGTATATTAAAGTCTGATGGCTAGAAATGTGATATGGAAGAAAGGGGCAGGTTTTCAGCAGCAAAAGTACTACCACTGGAACACTTCAACTACTGCTTCCGATGGATTTTGTCCTCTTATTTTTCTTGGCAACACAAGATTGGAACTTATGACTAAAACCAGAGATGAAGGTTGAATACTTGAAGTAGGATTTCATACCTGTAAGCGCCACAGCTTATCTTACACTTTCTGATAATCCCAATATTATCCTATAAATTTAAAAATCTTTGTGAATCTAGAAACAACAACAAAACTAACATTAATTAGCCCATTATCCATATTTAGATCCAGGGTAATTTGAAAGCTTTCAATGTCTTCCAGCTGGAACACAGAGTAAAACTTACCCTACTACAGAGCAACCCTTAACCTTTGTTAAGATTCTCTGTTTGGCAATTCACTCCTTAGAAAGAGCCTGGTATTTCAGCCATCTCAAAGCACTGTCTTTCGAAGTATGCTTGGTCAATTCCCATCAGACAAAGCTATCCAGCAATCAGAATAACTGGGAAGTCCAGGTGCCATTCCCCAGGAACATCACTGTGCAATAACAGTCCATTCATAACTGAGTTAAAAAACAAACAAACAAACAAACCAACCAACCAGGAAATTTTCCAAAGCTGTAAAACCGTTTACAGCACCTCCCTTCACAAGGAAACTTCTGAAGGGCTGATGAAAGGTGCCCCCTGCATATCCCCTATGTCATGCTCTAGAGTTGCAGAGAGAAGGCAAAGGCTCAATAGAAGCTCAGTGCAAGCACCAGGCCTTTTCCAGGGAGCTGCAAGGCCAGGTCAGCACTCTGCAGACCCTTGGTTTTATTCATGGCCTTGCTTTGTCATAAGATACCTGGAGTATCTCTCTACACAAGAGAACTAGTCAGACACAAGAGAACTAGTCAGACTTGGGCGAAAAAGAAGCTATTAGAATATTGCCATCTTTTTAACTGTGCAAACCTGGTGGCAGAGATATCAGAACTAGAGGACAACATTAATTTTAAGAATTCTAACTTCCCTATTAATTTGGAATCTAAAATCTAGAGAACCTTGAAGACAAAAAGTGTTAACTTAAGCAAGTGTCTTCTCTTTCATCTGCAAAAGGGTTTCTTTGCCAGCTCTGAACATGTTAAGCCCCAAGCAAGTGCATAGTTTGAACACCCCAAATTTGGGATTAAAAGCAAAGTAATTAAGGAAGGAAGGACTTTTCTGTTTGTGGGACAGAACAGAAAGCACTGACACTGCACAGAACAACGCAGCTCCTAAGGCTGCCATGACCAGAAATGTTTCTGGGATTCTTAAGTCATTGACCACCTTCCAGGCAGCTTGCCAGTCGGAAGAGTTACCACTTTCCACAGGAAATGAACTCCTCTGGATACAATTTCCAGCATTCCCAATATTCAAGATGACCTTGGAGGTAAATAGTGCATTTTAATTCTCAGGATCTTTTAAGTCTTGTGCTGGATTGAACAGACTCCTTGAAAGAAAACCAACACATTTCAGCATACCAATTTTTTTATCTGTCCCCAACAAAAACAATACCTTCTGAGAACTACCTTGCTTTGAAAATTATGCATTGCAACACACATTTAGGAGAAGAATAGAAAAGAACATCTTTATTTCACTGAAACATCGGTCAAAACAGACAGCAAGATTTACAAACAAACAAGAAAGATCAAATCCCCTAACTAAATAAATGCTGCTTCTTACGATTAGGGATTCAGCTTTGCTGTCGGGGACTTTTTCCAAGAGTTCCTGTCCTAAGGACTAGCACACTCTGGCACGCTTTCTGCCAGCAAACCATATTCAATACAGAAGCAAAGGAGAGAGTTCTCATAGGCCCAGATCAGATCCCAGGCAGTCCATGTCCTTCAGGGATCGCTTTTCCAGGACCAAAGTCTAGGCAGGCCATTTACATCACTCCAACCTTTAAGTGTGCTACTCTTCAGCATACCTTTGCCACAGATATAAGCACCTGCTTCCACCCAGACAGGCAGCAGTGACCTTCTCATCTTGCCGTGTGGGAGGCAAGTGGACAACATGGTGCAGGTCAGAAGGCTCAGAAAGCACACAACCTTTCACGTGCTAGCCTAAAAACATTTTAAATTTGTATTTTGGTTTCAGAACCTAGTGACTGGAAGTTTTAGCAGCTATCATTTGCTTTTGCATTCCAAGTATAAATGCTGAGCTAGCTGAAGCTCCTTGCCAAACACAAACCAAGACACTGTAGCAGGCTCAGAACGTGTATATTCCTCACTCCTGAGCAGATCACAAGTTACAATTATGGCATCATATGCAGGACGACCATTTCTCGTTAATGGAATAGAAGCATTGGATCATATAACATACATATGCAGGACTTGAAAGAGAAATACAAGGTCAAGCCTGCAACTAGACTGCAATAGGCCTGTAATTCAGA